TTCCAATGATTGCCGTTTATGATCAACTTTTGCATTCATATACACTTCTATAATGTTCTCTTCGGAGTAAAAGAAACCTGCACCAGATCGCCCTAGAATTGAATTTTAATTATAACTTTACTTGAAAATTCATTTCACATGCAATATTTATGAGTTTTACATATAAGAAATTTAAAAAAAAGCGGAGGCAATGATTTCTCTGAATAAATATTTAACAATATATAATTTAATAATTATCTTATATATAAAAATGAATCGCAAAATGTACTGGTAAGCGCATAACTCAACAAAGCCTGGACCAATTTGGCCAATTCTTTTTTTAAAATGTTCGTTGAAGTCCAAGGATGGTTCTTACGGCGAGAAAAAATCAAATAATTGCCGGGAAAACCCAAAAAACAGCCTTTTTCTTTTTCTCATACAAACGTTTTCTAACTAAAACGTAGAATCAATTTGAGCTTTAATTTTTTTTATAATGCATAAATAAATAATTAGAGAATTTATAAAGATAAACTGGTGGACAGGTAAATTGGACGATAGGTAAAATGGTAGAGAGGAGAACTGGTAGATAGACGAATTACATATTGCGATAAAATAATCAGGTTGACAGGTTAATTGGTAGACATGTAGAACGGGTTGACAGGTAAATTTGTAAGACGGTAAAATGGTAGATTGATAAACAAGTTGATAGGTAAATTAGTAGACAAATTGTTAAACAGAAAAATTGTTCAACAAGTAAATTATTGAACAAGTTTATTGGTAGACATTTAGAACGGGATGGCGGGTAAATTGGAAAGCAGGTAAATGGGTTGACAGGTAAAATGGTGTATTGATTAACAGGTCGATAGGTAAATGGGTTGACAGGTGAATTGGTAAGCCGGTAAAATGGTAGATTGATTAACACGTTGATAGATAAATTCGTAGACAAATTGTTGAATAGGTAAATTGTTGAGCAGATAGTAGTAATGTTAAACTAAATGTAAGAAATACACATCTTTGTTCAACTTTTTAATTTAAACTAAATTACGGCGAAGCGTGAACGGGTACATCGGTATCGAATTTAAATTGGCACCACCGTCCAAAATTTGCTGAATCTACGAACACAATTGTGTAACTATTATATTAGGACTATACAATAAGCATATTTAAATATGCTTCTTTATAATTATAATAATGATTTTTTTTTGATAATTCAACCATGATGTTTACCTTTCATCGACCATTTCCACACAATCCAACTTCCAGGATTTTGTTCTATTCGCCAGGTTTGACCCTTAAGTTTTCCAACGTACCACATCCAGGTCTCTTTATTAGCAGCCTAATTATTTAAATTAACTTTATGATGAAACAAATCATAATCTAGAAACTAGGTTTAACAAAGATGTTGGAAAAGGATATGATTTATCATAAAAGGGATATAAAGTATTATTTTTGTGATAAAAATGAAATTTATTTTAAATAACTCTTGAAAAAGAAGTAGCAGGAATAAATCCTTGGAGCGTGATGTTATGACCGAACCAGTTAATTTAATGGAAAGTTTTTGATATTTTTTTCAGGGCATCTCACTGCGATTTTGATATAATAGTCTAGTCATTTAACCCAGCTGTAACTCTGTAAATACTTATTTTGCATTCTAAAAGTTGTCTCAAAACCTACATATGGTAGGGTGTATGCAACATATGTAAGTTTTGAGACATTTTTTAGGGTGCAAAATACAAGTATTTACAGACTTACAGCTGAGTATCTCGAATTCCGAGGTGAACTTACTATACTGACTGGACTATAAACCATTTATTACTATATAAATAATATAAATAATATTCTTATCAGAATAAGTTAATTCCATTATAATATTTCTAACTGCAAATTCCTGATTAACATCTTTTAGGTGATAAATCCACACTTCGAAACTATGTGTAGATATTATATGTTATGCATTTATAATCTATCACTTTCAAGGTGAACGATAAGTAAATGAAGAATGCTGCAGGGAATGTAATAACTTTGTAATGCATTAATGAATTTAGTTAATTCTGCATTTGGGACTTGTATGGAATGAATAACACAAAAAACATAGATCTGGCCATTCTCAAATTTGTTATACTTTAGAATTATATTCAGCATAATTCTAAAAGTGAAATTGTTAAGTACTTTTTACTGAATTTGTCTTCTACATGGTTAAGATTTGTTATAGTATTTTGAAATAAATCTTGTACAAGTTTAATAGAATATTAATAGAATTGAAAAATGAACAATTTTAATTAACATAAATTGTTTCTCAGCCTATTTCTACTTTTACCTCCTCATGTACTCCCGTAACACCAACGAAAAGAATGGAACAACCCAAAAAACTTAACCAAGAAAGCTGCACGTACATTTTAGCAGTTGAAATATGTTTAAATTATAAAAATACTAAATGTATGTTTAATCTCACATAAACCTATGTAATAAATGAAACAATGTCGACCATGAAATTCATTGGCAATTTTCATCATTAGTTTTATATCATATAAAATTTTTAAACGCTTACCTTTTTGCAATTTTCATGATCATTTCCGTCCATTTTCTATAAACTTCCGGTGATCTTCAGTTGTGATTGCAAATAAATCCATTTATTCGCGCTAATCGCATATTTAGATCAAAAAGTAATGTGCATAATGATAATTCTGTATCATTGACTGTATGATCGATAGTTATTGGTTATGTCATAATTGAATATAATTGTTTGAAAATAAATTAGTTTATCAATTTACTGCAAGTTATGAAAATTCTTAGTTGCTGCATTTTACATAAAGATTAAATCTTAGCTGGAGATGGATGATATTTAAAAAAAAAACAATCATAAAAATAAATGTATATATGATGTTTTTTAAACATTAATATCCCATTAAAAAGCTATAATTATTAAATAATAATTAAAGACAATTAGTTGAAAGTAGCATGTAGCCTAAAGGGAATTTGCGTGAAATGGCGTGAACTTAGTAATTTTGACGCGTCACGTTATCCCAAACTTTAATGAATTTTTATAAATAATTTACTTTTTGTAAACCTATAATAATCAAGTACCATGTCCTTTATCATCATAAAATTCATAAACAACATCAACTAATTTTTTTTTACAATTCATAACGAAGAAACGACCTGGCCGATTATTGCCAAAAACTAATCATCAGTACGGTTCCCAACTGATATCTTTAACGGTTTTCAAATTTTGAGGTTTTTTGCGAGAACGTGGATTAAAAATTTGCACTTTTCTGTAAATTCTAGGAACAGAAAAACGACTCGGTTGATCGCAAAACTAATCAACGTGAGTCTTCATCGAGTAGCTTCGAATGGTTTTAACATTTTCGAGATGCGTGGAGCATTTTATGAATAAACATCGTCGTAAGATGTATAATAATAATATAATAATGATTCATAATTACTTAAAACGTCGAAAAGACAAAATTATCAAGTCGAAATATGAACTCATCGAAATATATAGCGAAACATGGCGAAACAAACTTTACCATCGAGAAGAAAATTAAACATGATAATACTTTATAAATATTTTAAATTTTTAATATCTGTTTTATAAATTTCATGTAATGTTTAATAAAATAAAAGTTTTATATTATATTTTATCATTTTACTAGTTTACTATATACTGGTGCCATCTGTCAAAATTAAAGCGCACTGAAGTTGTTTATTTACCTGTCACCAATATTTGCACTCAATTTGCAATGGATTTCAATTAAAATAGAAATGCTATACTCCTGAAATAAAAAAAAAATTAAATTTTAGTTAATACTGCTCAGTACACTATTTCTTATGATGCAATGTTTAACTAAATAAAAGATTTATATTAAATTTTATCAATGTTGCAAACTTTGAAACAAGGCTCACTTCACAAACGTGTCGTGCCATCTATGGTGCCATCTGTCAAAATATTTTATCTATGGTGCCATCTGTCAAAATTAAAGCGCATTGAAGTTGTTTGCTTACCTGTCGCCGGTATATTATTGGCAATATTTGCATTAAATTTGCAGTGAATTATAACTAATTGTTAAAATAGAAATGCTATTACACTATCGTTTCAATATTCTTGAAAGAAACGATATTTCAAAACTCAGTTAATACATTTTTTACTATGATTGCAAAAACCTTTATAATTAATGAAGCTTTTGAGAACTTTGGCAAATTGTTTAACATTCTTTGTATATATAATGGATTTGTAATATAATGCAATATGTATGCAATATGCAATCTTCTTTTGTATTAAATCAATAATCAGAATACAATTTAATAATGATTTGATTTTTTCATATATAAAAATTATTATCTTCAAAGCCATATAAAAGGTTTGCAAGGTTTTATTTGTAATTTAATAAAAAATATAAAAATATGAAAACTGAAATAGATAGTTATTATAATATAACATCATTTAAGGGCATTTAAGGGTTTGGCTTCTGGATAAAGCGAAAATCCGGCTCAGTTTTTGGCAATCTGGCAATATAATCAATTCGAGCAGTTCACGCGATGACGTCAACATACGGTAATTTCAAAATGGCCGCTTATATGGTTAAGTTGAAGTAACAGGTGAGGTGATGTCAAAACTATAGTGTAGTTTCTTCATTTTTTGTGTTTTATTTTTAATTAAAGTGCAATGCAATTATATAAATAATTAACGAAATATGTGATATAAGGTAATTTATTGTGTGAATATATAATTGAGTTAAGTGAAGTGGTTTTAGTGTTTATTTATTTCAGTGATGACAGTTCCTTCGATTACCTGAAATGGCATTTGTGTTTGAGGTATATTGCTAATATATATTGCATACTTAATGAAAATTTTCATGTATTGTATTTAATTTTTTAGTTTCTAAACTAATAAGCTATCAATAATTGATTACGCAAATTTTTATCACCTGTTTCGGTGAATGACAATATAAGATAAGACATATTAGTTTTGCACAAAACTTTGATTACTGAAACTTCCAATCGAAAATGAATTTTATTTATTTATGATAATTAAGTGCAGGGAAAACATTGCTTTAAATAATATCAAGAATAATAAACAAACTATTTATTCGATATTCTGATATTCTGTTTCGCATTAAATAAATTTGCAACCATTATATTAATATGTCTTACTTTTATTATGGTAAATAGAACAACAATTCTTAACTTAGAATTTAATATTATCAAGTTGAAAACTGTAATTAAATATATGTAATGAAATAGTATGCAATTAATCACGTCTAAAATGAATAAAATATAAATTAATTAATATTAATATTATACAAATTAATTAATTATTATTATATTAATTATTAAAATAAATTATAAATATTAATATTATATAATTAATTAATTATTATTATATAATTTAATTAATATTATATAAATTCATCACTCTAAAATAAAAATTAATTGCAGTATAAAATTTTAATGCTTCAAGATATGGAAAATTTTTAGTTATTTAAAATAACGAATTAATCAATTAATAATATACGGAATACATAAATGAATAAAATTT